TTGTTATTTGTCTGCAACCATGAAATATAGTGAATATTTGGAGGGTTTGCGTTTTAGAAGCCGGTGTAGTACAGTTAATGCAGTATTACTATAAAAATGGGTAATAAGTGTGTAAACAAGTACTGTTTGTTTCGCTGCATTCATTTATATCATCGGTTATTTCACAACTTAATCTGGTTCCTCATTAATTTTTGAACTTTTAAATAACATTGATTTAATTTTCATTTATTTCCCTCAAAGAAAATCTCTTATCTTTTTATTTTCTGGCTCGTCTCTGATTGGTCAACAGCATCATGCGGAGACGCCCACAGCAGCTCAACGGCGCCCCCACGCTGCTCCGGTTGATCTTGGAACTACACTGTCTGGCCCGAAGGATCCCTGTGTGTGTGCGTGTGCGTGCGTGTGTATGTGTTGCGTGCGTGTGTGTGTTTTTGTGCAGATCAGCAGCAGCGACCCCCCCCTCCTGGATCACATCGTCTTTTTATCCGCTGAAGATCCGACGTCCATTTCACACGGACACACAACACACCACCGACATCTTGGCTCCAGATTCCGACTGAGAAAAAAAACAACCCAAACTCCCAGAAATCAAAAAACCTGAAGGCTGAAACCTTCCGTCTCTTGTCCCGGGTCCGAACATCTCCGCAGTTCGTCCAGCCTCCGGTGAGTCACGGTCCAGAAACATCTGGATTTGTTCTTGTTCTCCGAGCCGAGCTCAGTGGAAGATGATAAACTTGTGTGGCGTGTCTCCTGCAGGAGCAGTGATGGCAGAACATCTGTCCCAGAGTGAGCTCGACTACCCCTTCAAACTTCTGGAGTATTTCAACGGCTTCAGGGTCTCCAAGGTAAAACCAGTTCATCTCTGAGAGTCCGTCTGCACTGATGGATCTGAGCTCCACTCACTACTCATGTGGTGACGGAGGTTCCCTCAGTTCCTCTACGTGTAGGAACCTCCAGCCATGAACCAGGGCACACGGTCACTTTGAGTTTCAGGCTGAGATGCTGAGTAGGGAAATGGTTTTTTTCATCTGAGAACACAGGACACAAGGTCAGGTGTTCTCGGACACCAGCAGATGTTAGGGACGTGACCTCAGTTGTGCACTTTAGCATCATCAAGACAGAACTTGGTGGTTCTCTGAGTCTGAAACATGAACATCAGTGTGATAAGAACCACCTGAAATGACAGGAACCCTCCCAGCCACCAACATGGAGTAGGTAGGGGGTTATGACCAGCTCAGGTGTTGATATGTGGTCCAATCCCTCCAGGTGATATTTTCAGCGTGTGAGCTCGGAGTGTTTGACCTCCTGCTGATGTCCCAGGAGCCTCTCAGTGCTGAGCACGTGGCCCGCGAGCTCGGCACCAGCGTGGACGGGATCGAGCGGCTGCTGGACGCCCTGGTGGGCATCGAGATTTTGGAGGTGGAGACCAAAGATGGGACAGGTGAGGAAGAGGAGTAGATGATCTCGGACAGTCTGAACTTCAGATATAACAACCATGTGATAACTGGACTTTCTCTATTGACACAAACTTAAATTATCATTTTATTGAAACCACAGAATCAGAATATCTCCTCTCTGGAATTAGAGGACTTTAACTTGACTCCACGTCGGCAGCTTCAATTACTTCATTCTTGTTCTTGTTTTTTGTTAACAGCTCTTTACAGCAGCACCGATGTGGCGAACCTTTACTTGGCCAAAGGCAGCGCCAAGTCTCTCCACAACATGATCATCTACCAATCCCAGACCATTTACCCACTGTGGAACAACATGGTGGACGCTGTCAGGTCTGTGGGATCAGAAGGTCACATCACTGAACTGGATGTAGAGCTGAACTCGTGTAGCTTTTAAAAAAGCAAGAGCAGAATATCTAAGATTTTTTTCCAACCACACAGGGAGGGGAAGAACCAGAATGTAAAGACCTTCGGGCTTCCCCCAGAGGACATTTTCAAAGCAATCTACAGGTTTGTTGCTATAGTTACGTCATTCTACAATTTCCTCCGTCAGTCGTCGAGTTTTTAAGATTCTGTGTTTGATCCGTAAAATCCACCAGATCGGAGGAGGAGACGTTGAAATTCATGGGTCTGATGAACTCCTCTTGGGTTCTTGACGGACACGACATCGTGACGGCGTTCAACCTCTCCAGCTTTCAGACAATTGTGGATCTTGGGGGTAAGAGGCAGCGACACTGAGCTGAACTCAACCAGCAGGTTATTAATGTACAACGTCTGGAGTTGATCCATTATTCATCTAGAAAAGGTTTTAGTGGAGCTGTGAGTGAATCTTTATCAAATAATTTTATTCATAGGATCACGGGTATAGACTTGATGCTATATAGTTAATGTATATAATTTGACCATGTGCAGCTGGTCAGTTGTTTTCATGTCATTTTACGCAAATTTTATAAATCTGGTGTCCCTCAGGGATCCCTCCTCGGTCCCTTCATTGTTTTTTCTTTTCTAATTCTCTATGTTGTATCACTGCCAGTAATGATTAAGTCTCCATTCGCTTCTATGTAGATGACATCCAACTAATACATACAAAACAAAACATATTTAAAAG